AAGCTAAGCGGACTTACTGATTCATTGTACATTCCCAGAGAGCCCAATACCCCTTAATTAAGGAATATGGCTTAAATTATGTAGGGCTTCATATTATGACTTAAGCTATATTCCTTAATTAAGGGGTATTGGGCTCTCTGGGTTTGCTGCAACCGGCAGCAGAGTCCAGCTTTCACGGGACCTTCACACAGAACCAGGGTTTAGGGTTTAGGGTTTAGTTCCTTTAGCACCGTGCTACGTAGTACTGCTACATGCATCCGGCTGTGGCTTACATCGCATGGCGCTAGCAACACAAGCTTAGCTATGCCTCGCAAAGTAATTCGTCTGCATTCGTAGACAGCAGGAGGCATCCAAGCACGAGCCACGCCAACGCTTGCTTCAGGCGCTGAAGCTTAGGCACCGGTCTGTGCATGCGTTGTTGTTCACTATATCTGATATCACACTCTACTTGCATTGTGAAGATAATGCACCTCGTTCGAAGACACGGATGTCAGCCTCCATATGTTGTTTTCAAGCCTCATACGTCTAGATGCTAGGCCGCTCCTTTGAACGAGACCGTGTCGGGTTGCCACTGCTTGATCAACGACAAGGCAGAAAACACAACCAAAACCCGCCTAAAATCGAAGCCCGATTGAACACATAGACAACCCGTGCGATGAACCAAAGCACCTGACGAACCCCATCGAACAAAATTGATCGTGCTTGTAAGTGCCTAGCAGCAGCTGCCCGGCATCCTTGAGCCGTGGTGCGCGCCTCGGATCTGCACAGCTCTCAGTTGACCTCCATATGTTTAGGGTTTCGTGGCTTTAAGAAGGGGCGCGAAATACATACTAATACTATTTTGGGGGTCGAAATTGGAACTAGAGTATAAGACGATGCCCCAAAAGTAGTAAAGTCCTTACATTAAGCATCCGTTGACCTTCACGTGGCGTTGTCGGCGTCTGTAACATTAGGGCTCGCTTTTTCGTGCCTGTTTAGGATGAGCTGGCTGCCCTTACCCATAGGCCCCAAAGTAGTTCTTTTTTGGGATTACCTTATAGGAACCTAAATATGAACCCCAAAAAGGAACTACTTTGGGGCCTTAGGGTAGAGCCAACGGCGTCGAGGGGATTTACACAGGCGTGTCCTGTCGTGAAGCCCCAGATCTCAACTCCAAACCCATCGTTGCCGCTTTACCCAAAGGCCCCAAAGTAGTTCCTTTTTGGGGGCTCATATATAGCATCCTATAAGGTGATCCCCAAAAGGAACTACTTTGGGGCCTATGGGTAACCATACCCCAAAACCTAAACGTTTTAATTAAACCGAACAAAAACCTATGTGAAATACCAAACCTGAACCCTCAACCCAATACTAGGGCTTTCTACCCGGACTTCACGGTTGAAGCCCCATAGTGCATAGAGTTTGCTGAGTGTTGTCTCGGGCCGGGGACAAACTCCGAGGACGACATGTCCTCGGAAAGGTTTGGGGTGCTATCCCTAAGTCTCATCTAGGAGTTTCCGAGAATAGGGGACCCAGAAATACATATATATATATACATATTTATTTATTTATCTATTTATTTATTTATTTTTACACATCTATACATATACCCTAACTCAATAGGATCCTCATTATAAGGACCCCCAAATAAGGCACCCCTGATTTTCGGAAGCTCCCATTTGGTGCCGGAAAGATCCCCAGAGCCTAAACTCTACCTACGGCGAACCTCAGAAAGTTGGAACATGGGTTTAGGATGATTTGGGCTAGGAACCCTCCTACTTTACCTTAAGGGCACGAGGATCATAGTGTTTCAACTATATGGCTTCTACTATAGAGTAGCCGAGGTATCCAAAGCAAGGGAAGCATAGATCGGGTTCTGCGGTCAGTGCCTTTTTCAAGGGTTATGTAGGAACCTGATTAAGAAACCCTGGGCATATAACCCCAAAACTAGTAGGTTTCATATAAGGAACCTAATAAAGGCCCAAGGTTTCTTAATCAGGTTCATTCATTACAGTGGTTCCTTAGAGCACATCGGTAAAATCTGCAGGCCTGTCTGGAGATGCAGGATCTGTACGTCTCCAACCGCAACTTAGAGGCCCAGGGGACATAGTAAGGGTTCCTTAGAAGGGTTCCTTTAAGGGATCTATAGGGTTCCTTTAGGGTCTACTTGGAGTGGCAGGGGACTTAGTAAGTAGGTTATGAGTAGACTTATAAGTGCCCTAAATGGAGTTACCCCAATTATAACCCGACTTATAACCGACTTACTACGTCCCCTGGGCCTCCAAGAAAAACAATCCAGGCGTGCACTCAGAAACATGCAACTCCGAGCATAGGTTTTGAGACCGAAACCTGTTGATGAGATAAGTCCTGCATGACCTTAAGGACCCTAAACTATGGGATTTATGGTATATTCATGATTATGGGTAATGCAGCATTTATATCATCAACCGAACGCGTGCTGCTTGAGGAGTGGCGCGCCCCCCACACAACGGGGTTCAAGGTTCACTTACCATAAGAGCAGTCAGTACGAGGGTAGTACGAGGGTATATGGCCTTACTTTCATGGGTCCTTTGGTTCTTAAGCTATGAAGCCAAGGGCGCCAGGTGCCCACGGAGGGGAGGTGTCTCCAGCTCCGGTGCAGGAGCCGTGGCGCTTCGGCGCTTTGCGGCTGCAATGACATCGGAGCTTTTTCCTCCGCTTTATTCTGGGGTCTCGTTACGGGATTTACTTTTAAGTGACCATGATAAGGAAACCCTATTGTTTACTATAGATCCCAATTATTATTGTACCTTAAATTGAAGTCCTTAACAAGAACCCGGTACTTGGAGATTCATTACCCTAAGGGTCCAAGCACCTAATTATCATGTACTCTCCAAAATAGTAACCCATATAACTACTATCCAAAACCTAAGTACCTGCTTATTGGGTCCTTTGGACCCTTAGGGTTAGAGGACCAGGGGACTGTGGGAGCTTTCGCGGGGTCTACAGGTTCTCACGGCATGCAGTGAAACAAGAAGGACTTAGTAAGCTGCAAGAAACAGGAGTTACCCAAAGGCCCCAAAGTAGTTCCTTTTTGGGGTTAATATATAGAATTCTATAAGGTAATCCCAAAAGAGGAACTACTTGGGGGCGTATGGGTTGCCTTGTCATGCATGCCTTGATCCTGTGAGTAGAAGTTAGGGGTTCAAGACTCCCGATACTGCATTTTGGGGGGCCAGGCTCGAAGTTGGAGAAAATGCGATCCTGCTTGCAAGATCGAAGAAGTAAGTAACCCTAGGCGGCCGGTGACCGATATATGATGAACTGTCCTGGTAACCTCCGAGCGCAGTTACCACGCAAACGGGGCCAGTTCCAGGAACTGGTGCCCTAACCTTTGTTAACACTAATATTATTATATATATATATATATATATATATATATATATTAAATATATTACTATAATATATATATATATATAGCTATATATATATATATATATATATATATATATTAGCTATATAGCTATATATATATATATATATATATATATATATATATATATATATATATATATATATATATATATATATATATATATATATATATATATATATATTCATGTATATACATATATAGCTATATATATATATACATACATATATACACGTGAAACCGCTTCTTTCGTGCTGCAACACAGGAATCGAGGCCCAACAGCTCTCGGTCGGTGGGCCCTTAAACCGAAAGTCACCCTAAACCCTAAACCACAGAACTGGAAAGAATCCGAAGATTATCCTCATCTTTCTAGGCCTCTGAACCCTGAGATCCTTATCCATAAGGCCGATGGCGACTCCGAGATCCCCTGTAAGATCCTTAACTTCAGACCCTACAGCCCAGGACACATGGCTGTGCCGCTCTCATGTCATATGCAGTACACTAGTAGTATGGCAATCGTCGCCATGAGATCGTTCGCTTGCAATGCAGCGAGCCCTGCTGTTATCCCGGAGCAGATTACGGGACCGGAAACGCAAGAGTGCACCCCCGCCCTGCTTCCTTGCATTGTGTGCATGCAGCTGTGTGCATATGCGACTGCTATGTGATCAGTCATGTGTGCAGCATGCATCTGTGTGCATATTCAACTGTTGAAAGTTGGTCATGTCTTGCTGTGTTTAAAGCAGCATTTTTTAGCAGATCGGAGCCCGGAAGGGGTTTCGGCATGGCGGCTTCTGCGAACTCGGGTGCGGTGGTAGCAGCTGCTGATGATGAGTTAGGAGAGACTCCTAATCTTCAGGATGAGGAGTTGCTCAACTGGTACTCTAGCAAGATCCCATGTGTCAATCTGCTTTATAAATTTGATCGTGAAGCCTCGAGCCTCGAGGTTGATGTTGCTCAAGGATATCTTGGACGACTTTGTTCGAACCAAGCCTGAAGGAAAGAAGCACACACGTGCTGGAGAAGCCAGGCGAAAGGAAGCGATTGGCCAGCAACAGGAGTGTAGATGTACATCCACACACAGACACATGCAATGTGTTTTCTCTTTTAATCAGCATCTGAGGGGCATGAGTTCTTCGAGCCCTTCCAATTCATTTCAGATGCTGCTGTGGAAGCGGCTTTCGATGTGATCGCCGGGCTTCTTGCTTCCTTTGGATGCACTCAGCCAAATATGGCAAAATACAAGGTATCTTGTTCTGCTCTAGAGTGTTTCGGACCCGATAGAGGTGTTTAACCTGTAGCTATAGCATGCACAGCCCAGGCAGCTTTTGAATGGGTTCTGGAGGAACACGATATTATGGGGAAAGATGTGCTGAAGAAGGAGACGCAGGCCGGCTGATTGACCGGAAGAAGATTGTCTTGTGCAGCTGGCTTGCAGATGTGGGTGGACTATCACGCCGGGACTTTGCGGGCCCGTGTGATCTACTTGATCCGGCTCTACCGGAAAACGCCGGACCGGTCGAAGATTCTTTTCGGCACATATATGCATGGTCTATACATGTGTTTATATGAGTGTGTGTGTGGTCCTGCCCGGTTTGATTCGTTTGGTGAGGTCGCCGAAGATACAAACACTCAAGGACATCCTCGCTGCTCTCGAAGCGCCGGCTGCAACTGCTGTGGATGCTTCGGCCGTGGATGGGGGCCAAGCGGCCCCAGTAGAGGATTCGGCCGAGGATGGGGAGGCCATGGTAGATGATCCGACCGAGGAAGGGGGCCAAGAGGGCTCAGTAGAGGATTCGGCCAAGGATGGGGAGGCCATGGTGGAGGATCCGACCGAGGAAGGGGGCCAAGAGGCCTCGGTAGAGGATTCGCAGGCCATGGTGGAGGATCCGACCGAGGAAGGCGGCCAGCAGGAGATCGAGGCGAGGATGTGTTAGTCGGGTATTTGATCGAGTATGTGCTGGATTGTTCTGTCATTGAGGGTCTTTTCGCATTGTACGTGTTGCAACTGCTAAGACATGACAGGTAGTGGACCCGAAGGCCTATCCGGCAGTGCCTCCTTTCCAGGACACACATCTTTCGATGCATGCTTCATCATATATACTGAAACGATTTTTTTGCAGGACCCGCTTGGAGATGCCTGCCACGAGACCCCGATGGTGCAGCAGCAGCACAATTATTCGTTGTGGGTTTGTGTGTATAATGCACCTTGAGTATCTCGTTGTCCCTCGAAGGAAGAAGACATCCCATTCACGCAGCCCGACCCACCGTCAGCAGAGAAGCAGAAACCCGTGCATAAGGACAGCCGATGAGTTTGTGAGTGTGTGTGTGTGTGTGTACGTCACAATCTAATATTAATATAACGAGGATACCGGTGACCTCAAGCACGACTCGCGCGGGGATCGCACCAGTGACAAGGACTTTCTAGAGGGATCACACCAGCACTTGTCAGTATGGGTCATATATGCATAGGTTCCCTTGTGTGCAGGATCGCAAGCCCCTGGTGACCGAAGCTCCGACCTGGGATTCCTCCCAAGCTGAGAAGCTTCTTGAGGATGCAGCAGCTGGGTGCACAGATGCTTTGCCCGAGCTGCAGTCGAAACTGCTCTCCAGCTGACTATTTGGCTGTGGCAAAGCATGTCCCATTTCTTGGAGTGTGCATGTTTAATTATCCGAGGCGATCAGCTGCCAAAGCGAAGGCGGCTCCTGACACGGACAAGCCAGGCCGTGGCGGACGTGGCCGTGGCCGTGGCCGTGGAAGGAACACGGTTGCAATTGAATTGATCAATTCATTATGTGTGTCGTGAGCATCAATCACACAGGAGTGGAGCTGCCATGAAGCGGCCTGCGGCTGCAGCTCTGAAGCGAAAGGCCGAAGAGTCGAAGAGCCTTTGGAGGAAGTTGATCCAGATGAGGTGAAAGAGGTCGATGGCGACAACGACGGCCCAGGACAGGAGGCCGATGAAGGACAGAAGCCGAAAAAACGATCAACCAGGACGCCGGAGGAGCGGGAGGTCTTGAAGAGCCTCCCGGAACTCGAGAACTATCGAGTGCTTCAGCTTGCAATATCACATGTACAAATCGCGATCGGGTAGCCAGGATGATGTTACGGATTGATCATTGCTACAACAGCTCATGATGTTGAGGTGATGCCCTATTGGACCCGACCGTTCGAGTGCGGTGTCGTTCGCAAGCCCACAGCAACGAAGCCAAAGAAGCAGGCAGGATGTTCATGCAGGTCAGTTTGTGATGTGTGTCGTGTTGTCGGCTTTGTGTCGCAGGTGCTGTTCATCACTGGCAAGCACACGGGCCTCCCAATCACATGGAAGGAGATCGTTCAACCTTGCATAAAGGCTGTTTCTTGCCTGCCTTTGTATGGTGAATCCTGTGGTGTCAATGAGAGTATGTCGTGCTGTCCAGAACCCGCATGCTGTGAGGCTTTGTCTTTGGAGGCAGGCAAGGACTTGTCGGTCCTGGAAGATGCCTTCGAGAAGGAGAAAGAGTGCTTGATGAAGTTGACGGCCCAGCGCCGGGCCGAACTGGCTGTGAAGTGATCTGCTGCAGAATGGTGTGGAGGATGTAGGGTGGTCCTGATTGGTTCGGTTCCTGACTGCTGCACTCTAGAAGCTAGCGAGCACTCCAAAGAATGATCAGGAGGGGTCCATTCAGGATCTGGTTTTGGCCTCGTGGAAATGATCACATGGTGATCGCTTGCCCGAACACATGAATATGCCATGCTGTTCATTTTGGGCTTCGGCTGTGCCGCTGGCTGGTGCATTTATACGAGAATGGCAGCAAGGTCCAAAAGATTCTGCAGTCTGCATGCTGTCGTATGTACACCATGGAAGAGGCATGCTACATGTTGCATGCTTGGTTCGTGCATGTGGCTGCTTCGTTCGATCGAGATAGCAGCTGCTCAAGTAAACCTTTCAGTGAGCAGCACCTCGACTAGCACCCCAGCCAATCCCGACTTTCGGAGGTTTTCGGTCTTCGGTGGGAACAGTTATAAACGGCTAAGCACCCCCCATAAGCCTCAATCCCTAAACTGTCGACGTCTATGTCGTGGAAAAACATCCGAGGCCACGTGATGTGGCGCTTTTTCTCTTCGATTCGCCTCGCTGCGGTCTGCACCGCCTACCAGCTGTACCCTGGAACACGTGCCGTGGCATTCAAGAGGGAAGCCTGGTCGTTGTTTGTGGTACCAGTACCACTACTGTACTATATTATAAATAGATCAGATATTGGTACGAGTATGTACGAGTACTACTACTAGTATGAACTCGTACTACTTTTTCTACTACTACTACTACTACTACTACTACTACTACTACTACTACTACTACTACTACTACTACTACTACTAGTACTACTACTACTACTACTACTACTACTACTACTACTACTACTACTACTACTACTACTACTACTACTACTACTACTACTACTACTACTACTACTACTACTACTACTACTACTACTACTACTACTACTACTACTAGTACTGCTAGTACTAGAGTGCTACGGTTGATGATATAAATCCTAGACATATTATTACCCAGAATTCAATAAGGAATTCGAATATACCATAGATTTAGGGTCATCAAGGTATAGTGCAGAATTTATATGAATACTGGATCTGATTTCTTACTACTAAGACTACTTATACTACTACTACTACTACTACTACTACTACTACTACTACTACTACTACTACTACTACTACTACTACTACTACTACTACTACTACTACTACTACTACTACTACTGTACTACTACTACTACTATTACTTCTACTACTACTACTCCTACGACTACTACTATATATATTAGAACTACTAGCCTAGGAGTACTGCTACTGCTGCTGCTACTGCTGCTAGTGGTGCTGCCTACTGCCTATACCCTTAAGCTCCCCACAACTCCAGGCCGACGACCTAGAGGCAGCAAAGTCTTGTCATAATCCCGAAGCACGGCAGCACTGTACATGTGAAAGTACGTACTGGTGTACTAGCCACTATGTCATGTACTTGTAGCCGACAAGTAGCAGTCGCAAGAGCAGTGCTAACTCACAAGCATCCGATCCTCCAGTTCCTTCGAGACTTTATCGGGTTTGGGAATTGGGAATCGAGGCTCAGGGGTTTAAGTTCGGGGTAGTCGGGCTGCTTGCACTTAGGACGAGTTCACCATCTTCTCGAAGCTTCTGGATGCCGGGCTGCTCGCCACAAGACACAGGAGGTCTGTAAGGTTATTGGACTTTAATCTAATTAGGGCTTTGAAGTTTTGGGATTTAGTGTTTTAGGGGTATAGGGTTGAGGGGCTAAGGGGTTTTTTTGGGGGGTTAGGGCCAACGATTAGGAGTTTTGGAGTTTTGGGTTTAGGGCTCAGGGTTTAAGGCGGTCGGGTTGAGAAGTCGCCGGACTTCAGGCACAGTGGGCTACCCGGATTAATGGGTTGAGTCGCAGGTTAAGCTCGAGGTCTGTGGCTTTTCTTTTTCACTCGAGTGTTTCAATTTGGTAGTGCTTAGGGCTTGGTGATTTGGGGGTAACGGGTGTTGTACAACATGAACTATGGACCTGGGGTTTGGTTTCGATTGGTTCTGAATATATAAGCGACATTCCTAGATCCGGGCAACCCGCACGAAAGCTGGAGCTGCTCACGCCACAGCCAACCACAACAGCCTGATCCGGAGTTTCATGATTTTGAACTTTTCTCCCAGTACGACATCTTAACTGCCACACTACAACCCCGCTGAAAGCACGGATTCCAGCCCTACAGCCGTGTACATCATCCCGAGCCTAGCTATTGACTTGGCCACCCAGGTTATTTCTTCTGCTGCTGTATGGACGACCACTGCCGGTACGTGTGATCCTGCCGTTGATAGCTGTGCAAAGTGCTGAATGGGGATCCCATAGGGCAAGAGTATTGATACTAATTATACGTCGATTCCTAAACTGGAGGCATTGGTCGCAGGTTTCGGGATTTCCACGACAGTCGGTGGATGATGTGCGGGCAAAGAGTTACCATAAAATCCTTGCAGTTGCTGCCGCCTACATGTGCCAATGCATTGATCTCTGATATGCTTAAAGCCCGGTTGCGACTTCAACCTCGTTTCCGGACACAGCTTTTGGGCTTTTCACGAGATCTTTCGGAGCCCCGTGTGGCCGCTCCTAGCAGCTTGCCTTGGTAATAATATGGTCTGGGAACCCCTAAACCCTAAAACCCCCAGCCCCCTAAACCCTAAAACCTAAGCCTTCGCACACCCTTTCCGGTTTTTGCTGTCATGATCACGTAGGAGTGAACCCAGATCTGAACCCGTAGTAGTTCAATATGTATTGCCCCCACCCTGTAATAGTGGTATAATAGGAATATAATAGGGCCCTACTATAACATTAATATAATCCTTATGGTCACTATTACAGGGTGGGGGCAGCTTCTAACATATACCTCAAAATCCATACCTCATCCCAGGCGGCTTGTGCCCGTGCTGCCTTCGATCAGATCGGAGTTGCCAGCCTGCCGGGCAGCTTGTCGGTTAAAGCTCGGGGTTATAGGATTAATTTTGCGATTATTACATATTATAAGCATAGACCCCAAACCCAAATTATACAGCTATGGTGTTGGGGTGTGGGCATTCCAGGCCTTGTAGTCCAGAAATCAAAGTATTAAGACTAGGCTTCGGGTGCTATCCCCAAAACCCATACAGAGTGTATAACTTCTAAGGTTTCGGAATGGACTTGGGGTGTCGAAACCCAAACCGGGAAGGGGCGAGCCCTGAACCTGTCTTGCAAACCGAGTGCGAGTAGGTGTACGTCATGAAGCAATCTCGATCATGTGCTCAAACTTGATTTAAACAGTAAATACCGAAACGGTAAATTTATTAGATTGGGAAGAGACTTAGGGCGCTGAACCCCCAAGAGGCTGGGGC